GTGAGAGGTAGATTCGAATATCATTTCAAATGAAGAGGTTTGTGGAGACAACTCCTCGAACAATAAGATATGATGACGTCCTTTGCCTGGCGATGGTACTTCTGAAGATAAGGTCGCGGTGATACTCGCAATAAAGCAGAATATTAATAACAGGGTATTAGTAAGGAGCTAGCATGCACTCTCAGTTCTGGCATCCTGATAAGTTCCGTACTCGCTTTGACAAAAAATATCCGAAGAAGACCACCCGCAAATAACTGTCAGGATTCTCTTTATATCTAAACAGGTCAAGTCAGTCCTAAAAGGGGAACGATATGATTGCTGTTGCGTTGAAAAGTCATCAGAGTCCCAATAGCATACGGTATTAAACAAAACGAAATCGTTGGCAGAGTTCTTTAAGGTTCGCAAGTAGTTTCTTTATCAGCTATCACATGCTTCACCTATTCAAGCATCTGTCATCGTTGGAGAAATTTACAACGTTTTCTTTTTCTAATATTTGTATTATCTCTCCCTTGAAAGTCTATTTCGATTACATTACAAAGCCATCTGTTACAATAAGAACATTTTTACTTCAGGACCTTTGTTGTTGTCCTTGTTCTGTTGTGCGCTACCTCAATTTAAATAACGCTTGAGTACTAGTGAAACAGGGTATAAGAATTAAGAGACCCGCAGTACTTAATTTACGCAACGTTACACATGGGGATGTAAGTGTCTTGTGGGCTGATTTGACTTTTTGCAAAATGAGTAGCCTAAAGATTAGACAAGGATCCAGCGCCAAACAAAGTATGTTACCGAAAGGACGGCGTTCACAGCGAGAGCAATTCGACGAAGCGCTGTCTTGCGTGACAAACACTACGTAAACACCTAGCTTAAATTGCATAATGTCATAATTTATGCGTCGTGCTCTTTTTGGCACGGTACTCTATTCGGCATTTACAAGACACTTTTTGGCCGCCAAATCGCACTATCAATGCCCAAAAAAATGGTCAAAGAGAACTCGTTAAGCGCTGAGGTTGATTATTTCTTATTTAAAATACAGCTATCAACCAGAAAATGCAAAAGTCAAAATTTCGTGACATAGGCACTTTAAACATAATACTATGGCTGTGTTTGTATATCGATACTCCTTTCAGCATGAAATATTCCCAAGTTTATTTTCAATACAGCTATCAACTAGAAAATGCAAAAAAGCAAATTTCGTGACATAGGCACTTTAAACATACTGCTGTTGCTGTGTTTGTATATTGATACTCCTTTCAGCATGAAATATTCCCAAGTTTATTTGAAATACAGCTATCAACCAGAAAATGCAAAATAACAACATCTCGTGACATAGGCACTTTAAATATAATACTATTGCTGTGTTTATATA